AAGGGAATATGAAGTGCCAGCAGAGCAGCACTTCACCTCCTTGCTCTTTGCTCCCCCATCCCATGTACCCATTTAGATACACATATACTTACAGGAGCCCCGGTGGCATAGTGGTTACGTGTTGGGCTGTGACTTGTAAGATCAGCAGTTTGAAACCACCAGCCTACTCCTCCGGAGAAAGGGCTTTCTACTCCCATTAACGCTTCACGTCTCAGAAGCTCACAGGGGCAATTCTGCCCTGTCCCACAGTCCTTATGAGTTGACATCAACTTGACAGCAGTGAGTAAGGAGTAAATATACCTATCCGTAGTTACATACGAGATGCAAATGCACGCACAAAGCATGCCCATATCACAAACACACTTACATGTGAGATAACCGCCACGTGCGTACACACATGTAAACGTGCTTATACTGTGTGCATATACATGGCCATACTCCCGTGGACAAAGACTCAGGATGTTTCTTGTTGCATCCCAGGCCAGCAGGCAGGGCAGGGACCCTTTTTCATTGGGGGTGGACTTGAGGTGGTCTTGCGGGGAAAGGGTTTCTTCTTGGGGACCCCGAGTTGACACTCCATCTTCTCAGGGGGAGGCTTCAGGCACCTTGCTGCCCTCACTCACCTCCCCCTCCCTCAGACCTGGGCTTGGATGTGGGCTATGCCACTTCCTGGCCAAACGTTGGGCAGTCTGCCAGCCTGCCTGAGCCTGTCTCCTCTGCTGTTGGATCTGTCAGCTGGGATCATTCGCCTCTCGGAAATAAGGAAGGAGCCGCACACAGCCCTGTGAGGCAGCCCTAGCCTCTGCCCGCAGGAGAGTGGTCACACAAAAAGAAAACATGCTTGTTGCTGAACCTCTTAGCCACAGTGACTCTTGCAGAGTGAGGGTGCCCAGCCCATGCCCTCTGCCTATGAGGACACTTCTAGGGGTGTGTGGAGCCATTTGACAAAAGTGGCATCGCACATCTGCAGCCATCTTGTCGTACAAGGCTCTGTGCCGTGTGATTCTACCTACTTGTTTGTGTAACAGCTCTGTAATATTCTCTTGTGTGGACAGATTGTGAGATATTTGATCAGCCAAGAGGGCTTGCTGTTAACTGCTTTCCTTCCTCCTGTTTCTCTAGGGGCCCCAGTAGGATGAAGCCTTTTAAATATAACCACCCTCAAGGATTCTTCAGCCATCGCTGACCCCTGCTGGGTGGTGCCTTGGTGCTGGGTGGGAGGGGAGTCGGGGGGCAGGGGCGGGGTAGGTTTTATGTGTCTAGCTTATTAAAGTGTCACCTGACCAATTGGCGTTGTCTTGCTGCTCCTTGGGGGAGGGACCAGTTCTTCCAGAGGGCAGGGGGCGCGTGGGCACTGTGTGAACTAAAAGCAGAGGACACAGCTAAAAGCAGAGGACACAGCTATCGGTGTGCTAGTCCCTGGGATTCAGAGACTGCAAGCAAAACCAGAGCCAGCCCAGCACAGAAAGACTCGGCGTGGATCCCCACATGCCGTCTCAGTCCATGCAGCCTTTCATCTCGTCCCAATCGCTGAAGCCTTGGCGGGGGTGTTGATGACGCCCTGTCCCGGGTGATACTTCTGCAAAAGGCCAACAAGATGAAGGATGGCACTGAGTGCAAAGATGATATGCTGTCCTGCCCATTCCCGCTCCCACCCCCAGGGAAAAAACAGTGCTCAATTCTCAGTTCATTTTAAGAATTAAAATGTGAAAATGC